TTTTGATTATTTACATGTTAATTACATGTTATTTACATACTCTGTAAATTTTCAACTTTTCCAGTGTTTAGATCAAACTGAAATATCCACATCGACTGGTTAATTGAAGAATTTAGTCAGACAATAAATTATTATCTCATTTACCCTTGGTACGTACGAAGTGAATGAAACAAACTTGGCGCTATGTGCTATGTGTATTTATTATTTTATTCTTATTTTTGTACTTATCCATGAACAGTTTATATCTGACACAATAATGATGCAATGTCAGTGTTCATGTTGTAACGGCTTGCTCTAAGGAAACACCTGACTAGAACTCTAACTAAATTGTTAGAGCGCCTAGTATTTGCAATTGCAGGGATTTGTATAGGAAAGAATCCCATTTGAGACCCAAAGTTTTATCTTTGTGGCACAATAATTACATTGTTTAGAAAACAATTATGGCTAAGCTTACTGCATGTATAGGCTGATATTTTATCTTTATCATTAAACTTTTTTAGCTTGCAAGGTGATGCCAATGAGGAAGCCACCAAAAGGGTTATTGAAGCAATGGTGGCTGATCATGGTGGATCTGATGTGCCCTAATGGTCTGCCTCAATCCAAGAGCGAGGGAGAACAAGGGTGAATATGGAGGCAAGACAGCCTCACACGATGTCATCAACGTAATGTCGGCCCACTGGAGGTCTGCACTGGGCAATAAGATCTGAGGATGCAGTTCATACTCCCAGCACTCCGCTTCTGAAAGCCGCGACTACATCCACTCGGCATCAAACAGCAGCAACTGTACACCACAGTGCCTGTCCAACAAGAGCAACTCTTCCTTCCCGGACCCATCCTTCTTCTACAAGTGCCAGTCCCACAACAATTTCAAATTTTATAATAAGACTGTTTTAAAGTGATTCTAGAACAATGTTATCAATTTTTCTATGGACACAATTTTAAAATGATTTCAGGGCAAGGTTTCCATTTTTTTTAATAGCAATATTTGAACAAGGTTTTCAATTTTCCAATTTCTCTGTTAACGATGTTTTCAAGTGACATTGAAGCAAAATGTTTAATTGTTCGCTATGTCTAGATGTTCACACATTTTCACCAATGATGTCAACAAAGTTTCAATTATTCAAGGTTATCATTTTTGCAATGATATACATGTAGAACAAGGTTTTCATGCTCAGTGGCATTAGCATTTTTCAAATGATTAAAGAACAAGGCTTTCAATCATTTTAAACTTATTGCTGTCACAGTTATGTTAAATTGCTTATGAGAGAAAATCTTTTTTGAGAAATATAAAAGATTGTGAACACAGCAGTTTGATTGATTAATTGACCCCATACCCTAAATATGGACCTTTAGTTAGCTTTAAAAGTGAGCAATCAATTTATCAGCTTTGCTTTTAAATTATATAATAAAGCTGATTGTTTATTTTTTGTGCTTGTGGGATTTGAATTCCCACATAATACACAATATGTGAGAAGTTCATACCGCTGCTTTACATAAAAGAATAAACTTGACTTTACGTCAAGTGTAAACTCGGCTTAAAGCCGCCTTTACTGTACGTTTACACGTATACGTAAAGCTGTATAAAGTCGACTTTACGCTCAGCGT